AGGAGCGACGTGAGGCGATTGTATTCACTGAATATGTAATTTAGCAGGTTATTTCAACATTAAAAGATGACCGAAATTAACATATTGCTTTACGAACAATTAGCATATTACTTGAGCGAAACAGTTTTCAACACAAACTAGTCTGTCGATTGAAACTTTACACACCGTGTACGTACACTCGCTCGGCGCCAGTTCCGAATGTAGTTTATTTCAGCCATTTTCAATCGAAATGTATGGCTGGAAAATAACAGCACTTAGTCTGTAACTATGCCTATGCCACAATTCCATCCTTGAGGGATCTGTCAGTCGTAGTTATGAATAGAAAGAAGAAGGAACCGTCTTAATAAAGGCGTCCCAAAACAGTCGCCAAGTGTACTAAATATGGCCCTGGTAAGGTGAATTTTTGGGACGCAATTTTCTCAAAAACAAGGACAAATAACACAAAACAACAACAAGAAGTGCTTACCTCGAAGGTTAAAGTGTGGCTTTGAAGGGTTGCCATCGCCGTAACACGACAAACGAAGGAAAAAACATACACCAAAAATTAAAGCAGCACTAAAAACTCCGAAAAAGAACAACATGCAGGCAAACAAACCCTACATTTCGACTGGTTTGCGCCACATTTTCGCCATCGTTTCGTCACAAACTTCCACTATGATGGAACCATCCAACGCCATCTCGCAGCACGAAACAACCAATCGGAGATAAGAAATCAGCCCACGTGACATAAGTTTCCTATCCAGTCTTTCTATTATCCATGCTTTGACCCCTTTCAGAAATTTTCAGTTAGGTTTTGTCTGGGTTTTAACTTTGACACGATAAATTAAGTATTCAAATAGATACATCGTTTCTGGTGTGACCTTATGGGAAGTATTAAGATAATCTGAGCAGCATTCAGGCCCGTTTTTATAGGGAAGAGGGTAACTATAGTTCTAGAGGAAGCCATGCGGTGGACGGCCGGGTATCAATTGTTGTGCAATTTTAAAATGAAAAAGGCTTCTCTCCCACTTGGATCCCCAGTACTCACGGGCTTCACACCCTGAGATCTCAGACAATTTGCTACAAATATAATATCTTTACCACCCTTCAGGGGGCAGCTACCCTCGTTCAGCGCTTTCTCGAATATTCTTAGCGTTTTGCGGTTGAAAACGTAGCCAGCTCCTCCAGTGCTGAATCCTTCCGATATAATGGTTCCACAGTATTTAACAATTCTATTGAAATGAAATACTCTGGGGACGTTTTTGAAGCTGTTCAAAGCACTCACAGCACGTGTTTTACGGCCACTGGTTAAAAATTCGAGCCCGAAAACACACAGCTGTTCGTGTTTTAAACATTACATAACCATGGTTGTTTACCAGATTTGGGAGATAATTGCCGATATCAGTTGTTGGTTTTCAGAAAGAAGAAAAGAAATTATCGATCCTTCAGAAATTTTACCTTCATGAAGTTTTAGAGCAGCTAAAAACTAAATATTTTTTTTACAATAACTGAGCGAATCCTCGCGCACTGATTGGTCGAGAGCTATGGTCTATGAGAGTATAGACCATGGAAATGATGTAACATGTCACGCATGCCGGTTGTTTTGTTTTTGGTTTGTCGTAAAAAAATAAATGTTATTGTAAAAAATATATAGACCACAGTTTTCCATGGTCACTCTTATAGACCATAGAAAAGACGCCATAAAATGTTCAAAACCATGCAGTGAAACCACTCGCCTGCAGCTGGTGGTTCCACTCGAGTTTTGAACATTTCATGACGTCATTTCTATGGTCTGTAAGGTTGAAGACCATGGAAAATTGTAGTCGATTTGTTAAAAACAAATTTTCACTTCGAAAAAGTTCTTCGTTTTATGATAGAATACGCTTGAATTTCTAAGCTTTTCCTAAGGCCGAGCGAGCTGTTGTGTAGGTTGAAAATTGACTTATTTTGGGGGATTTTGCTATCGGAACAGTCATTGTAAAAGAAAAAGTATTCCTTTTAACGTTTAAAAGTTCATCGAGAGATACGTTCACGCTTTCGTAGCTAGATCTATTTCAATTTTATTTGAAATTTTGCTATGTTTTACAAAGACAAATGCCGAGAGTTAGTAATATCACCGCTCAGCCAAAAAGGACTGAAAGAAAGGCCTAAAGCATACAAAAAATCGTCTTTGCGCTTGTGAAGTGGAAATTCCGAAGAAGGGTTTCTTACAAAAAACAAAGCAAAAACGTACCTACATTGAAATAACCTTGAAATAGAGCAATCTCAAAATATCAAGCTGTTAGGAATAGCAATTTCAATGTTAATATTCAAGGAATAGTGGAAAAAGTGAAATGCATGAACACTATAGAAAAACTGTAACAAACCCGTGCTCATAGTTGGTATTCAATTTTAACTAGACAGGGAGGGGACAAAAGAAAGAGAAAATGGCGAGAGGGTGGAGGGCGATTATTTTAAATATTTTCGTCAAAAGAGGACGATTAATCGAGGAACAGCTATTATTCGAGGAAATACAGTCGACTCCCGATAACATGCGTTTTACTGTTTTGAGAAGAAAAGCTGCTTCACGTTAGCCAGTAACAATCAACATCAGCCTACACTAGTAAACTATACTCCTACAACACGTCAATAGGAAATCCAAAATTCAATGTTTCGGACGCCCGGCCGTAGACTGCTTTTTCCCCGACTTTTTAAGGACTCAAAACATGGTTCGAGTTATTGAGGGTAAAATTATATAGAAAATGACCTGAGGGGAAACGAAAATTGGTTCGAGTCAGCGGGAGTTCGAGTTATCGAGGGTTCGAATTACCGAGGGTAAAATTACCGTGAATGTATGACGGAAATCCAGAGGAAATCGATTTTGGTTCGAGTTAGCGCGAGGTTCGAGTTAGCGAGGGTTCGAGTTCTATTTAGGCTATGTTTTGTTACGTTACTTTCTAATTTATAATCTAGAAGTATCTTTTAATTTTCACTTGTTATTTCTACAATTAAATGTGATTAAAATGTTCACTGTGCAGTAAAAACTGTTTTTTACCTTACTCTCGGTTATTTTCTTCGGGATCCCGATAACTCGAACTCCCGATAACTCGAACCTTTTTTCGATTTCCCTCGAAGGTTCGAGTTATCGAGAGTCGACTGTACCGATAAGAGCCTGTTAGGCTAAAATTTGCCAGTTAGGTCCCCTCTATACTAGAACCTGCTTACCCTAAAATTTGAAACATTGATACTTATTTTCTAAAATCTATAAGGAACGTTCAGTACACTTAGGCAAATAAGTTAAGTCAACATTCAGGATCCTCTTCGGAGACACAGGCGCGTTATCACTCCAACTGCAAAGTAATGGACTGCAGACGGCAGATTTTTATCCTCTCTTGATACCAGTAATACCTCTTAGCAACAATATATTTTTTTCTTTATAAAATGAGAACCTTTTTAAAATAGCTAAATTTGTGCTATTATAAATTGCCATTTATGTAAGAACCTGTTTAGGCTAAGTTGGGAAAATGTAGGTTCTCTCACACGCGGGTTTTTACTGTTTTGTCTAAGTGTTATCAACGTAAGATTCAAAGTTACTAAACTTGATGACTTCAGTTGGATCGTTCATGTAAAGGCTGAAAAGCATCGGGCCAAGAATTGAGCCCTGGGGTACCCCACGTGTTATCGTGAGTGGTTCTGTCAACGAAGTTGCAACACGAGTGGAGTTATGTCTGTCTAAAGGTAAATTCCAAACCATAGAAGAGCTTCGTTGGAAGTAACCAAATTCTGTAATTTACTTAATAGGGTTGAATAGAACAGGCCGTAGAAGCCTTGCTTAAGCCAATATGGACCTTTGCCGCAATTTGCTTTTGACAGGTCGTTATCGGTATGTGGCACGTCGATGATTAGAAAAAATGATTGAGAAAAAAAAAAACAAACAAACAAACAAAATAAACGAAGAAAGGCAACAGTGACAACAACAAGAAGTTCAACTGAGAGTCGAACCCGGCGGACTACTGGTATGCCCAGTAATCTCCTAATAACTGCCCCAAGTCGTTAAGTGCTTTTGAACAATCAAGAATATAATACCTAAAGCATTTCCGTGAAAATTCTGCTAGACGCAGTGACTTTATCTGTACGTTTGCACTCAAATGACCCTAAACGTGCTCTTAAATCAAACTGTGCGATAATTGTGAGCTTTGATTGTATTCTACGTAGTATGGCAGTCCCGGCCGCACTTGCATATAATTTGCAGGATCAAAGAGTTAGTTAATGGTCCCTTTCACGTCAATACTTTTGCCCAGCCTGCACTGAATGCGATCGTTTTCGGAAAGTTGCGAATTCACCAGTTCTGTCTGACCGATAACACACCCAGCAACAACAGCTCTTTAGTCAGAATAAAAGATGTCTGACTGAAAAAAAAAAAAAAAATTAGAATTTTACCATTTGACTGATATAAGGGTTGTTGTGACGTCATCTGGGTTTGACTGACCCGATCAAAGTATACTATGCAGACAATGTAGTATCTTGACTTCTTGAAAAGAAAATAAATGAAAATTACCTTAAAAATATATACCACATTCGACTTCTACAGTGGTGTATGTTCAGACTGGTCAATGGTGAGGTGTCTGTGAAAATAAGTTACGCAAGCACTTTCTAAACTCCTTCGCGGTACTTTTGGTGATCATCTCATTCCTAATTTGAGTTTTTCACAGAACCTTTGAAAGTGAAATTACTTAAAATGTTGTAAAGTGGCCCCACGACATCAAGATCCGCATCCTAATGGTCGCGTGTAGCGCGTCGCGGGTCTTGATGTCGTGGGGCCGCTTTTTAACACAGTAATTTCACTTTCAAACTGAGCTGTTCTTTGAAAAAAATAAAAAAAAAAGGTGTATGACAAAGAAACGAAAAAAGTTGAAAGCGAATTTCCGTCTAAGTACTGTAGCCCTCGTCAGAGTTATGGCAAAAACAATGCTATCTTTAATTAATTATAAGTTTTCCAACTTTAACCCTTTTTAAATAATTTCAATTATATATTGTTCCTCTTAAGTTTTAACTTTGACACGATAGATTAAGTATTCAAGTAGATACATTGTTTCTGGATTGACTTTATGGAAAGTATTTGGATAATCTGAGCAGCAATCAGGTCCGTTTTTATAAGGAAGAGGAAAGCTGTAGTTCAAGAGGAACTCATATGGCGGTCGGCCGGGTATCAGTTGTGGTGCAGTTCTAAATTGAAAAAAGGTTTCTCTTCCGCTTGAATCCCTCGTACTCACTGGCTTTACACCTTGAGATCTAAGACATTTTCCCACAAATATGTCTTCACCACCTCCTCGTGGGCAGCCACCCTCGTCCAGCGCTTTCTTGAATATTCTTAACGTTTCGCGACTGAAAACGTAGCCGGCCCCTCCACTGTTGTATCCGCCATACGAAGTAAACATCCTTCCGATATAATGAGGATCCGAAGGGTTCAACTTGGACAGAAAATAGCGGAGATTTTCCATGATCACGTAAGTGTCGTCATCTGCTTTCAAAAACCAATCAGCGTCGTGCATATGGTGTTGATAAATATATCTTAGTGATGCGCGGGTTTTGTTAACTAGCCTGCTTTTTCCTTCCCCAACATTTAACCCGATTGCAGGAAAGCTGGAATCCGCTTTCGAACTGAAGAACAAAAGCATATCACAGCGTTTTCCCCATGTATCCTTCACTGATTTTGCTCTTCCTGCGAGGCTGGTTGGAGAGGTTGGTATCCAACATAAGATTCGAGATCGTTTAATTTCCATTCTGTTGATATCATTTTGCTTAAGTTGCATTTCTGCAATAGGATTGTATTGGCTACGTTTGTTTCCTATTTCGAGGCGTTTATGCCAATAATGCATGTAATTATAATGTTCAAGCACGAACATTGTCACCATACCAAGAACTAGAATGCAAGCAAATAGGAAAATAATACCAGGCAAACTTGTCGCACCCTGTCGAACCATTTTTGGTTACAATGTGCTGGGTTTAATCTCTTCTTGACTAGCCATCATCAGAAAGTTCAACTTCTCGGAAACTTTGTTATTCGAAAAGATCTAGAAAGAAAAAACACGAGAAAGTAAGTGATAACTTCTTGTCTACTTAAGCTTTCCCTGGTAAAAAAAAGGTAAAGGCGTCAAGCCTGAGCCAAAGGCCCAAACGTCCGGAGCTTATCTCGGTTTCCTTAGCATGAAACATGCCTTGGGGTATTGCTACTCCCCCCTGGACGGGATGCTAGTCCATCGCAGGGTTTTCCCCTAGCAGTAAATGTTGGTTTTAGAAATGTACCTACTTAAACACCTGAGTGAAGAGAAACAAAGTGGAGTAAAGTTCCTTGTCTAAGTAAACAACTCGACGGGCGAGGCTTGAACCCTGGACCTCCAGATCCGGATTTTGAGGTTTTAACCGCTTGGCCACACACGCCTCACGCTGCCCATGGGGTCATATCAAACACTGCACAACAGTCACGACTATTCATTCAAATGGCCTCCGGCTTCAATTAATTCTTCTTATTATTCGTTCAAAATATTTCCCCAATTCTGCTAGGTTATCACTAGCAGAACAATGGACGATTACAGAGATTCGCCGACAATCAAAATGATATTCCCTGCTCACAGATGTCCTTCTATAAAGTTTTAAAAAGGACTAGAAGGCGCCAGCTTGAATTGATCAAACCTTTGAATTTCTCAGGTGCTTTCTGAGGCTTACTTTCCCGCAAATAAACTGAACTGTCTGAAAAAAGTGAAGAGAAATAGCGAAAAATTCCAACTCTTAATGTGATGTTTTCTTATGGTTTAGATTAAAATATTCTCGAAACTGAGAATGTTTTGATCAAAGCTGTGTAAAACGAACTGAATCCGTGCATGTAACCTTGCGTTTGCTGTTAATTATATCTCACCTATTTTATGGAAAGTCTGTGAAAATCTTTATTATGAACTTGATCGGTACATTTCGAAGAGCTACCCAACGACCAAGAATACTGTTGAAGGAACTGTCTGATATACAGAGCGGGCTGGAGCAGCTGTAGTGTCAACTATACTAGTATAAGATAATTAACGGACAAAGACATTTACATTCACATATTAGTGGGCCGACGAGTGTGTTGTCAAAAGTGTTCTCATGATTAATAAATATAACAAAATGTAACTTGTATGGTAAGTGAATTCCCGTTTAATTTTTTTACAATCTTGTTTTTGCTCTTATACTTGACGGATACCTTTATAAAAATACAAGTGTGAATATGGGGCCATTATCATGAAAACGAGATTTATTACATTCAACACTGACCAAGGCTGGTGTTGAAATTTGCACAGTGATATTCCGTATTCACTATAAGGGTATCACGCAATGCTTAAACCAAACTTTTTTCGACGGATTCCTCTCAAACTTTAAAAGCGCTGAAATGCAGCTTCGAACCAAGCTGAAGCCTTCTTGATCAAGGTTTGCAACAACAAGCAAGAGCGCTTAACCTCAGAAAGGCATTGGCTTCCTTGAATAACCAGAGAGTTTGGAAGCCAAATTGAATAAAGCAAATTACTGGACTATGCTCAAACTGACACACATATCATAAAATGGACAACAGACAACACACACGCGCTCAAAAATCTACCAGAGGAAAAAAGGAAGTGTTCGCATACACAAATCGCCTTCCCACTTGTGAAGTGGAACTGTCGATGTTGGGTTTCTTGCAGTGTCACGCCGCCAGTCAACATCTCAAGAAGAAAGCTCTTCAAGCACTCCTTATAGCTTAAGACGACGACAAATCTTAGCAAATTGAAAAGAGCTCTTGCCTGTAAAGTACGAAATTAATACGATGATCTTGCCCATACCAACTTATGATAGTGAAATTTGAGGTGAGTATGCCAAACCAGATTTTACACAAAATCGAAAAAAAAAAACACCTTCAATTTCAAAGTAAACAAGAAGGCTTGTAACAGGGGGAAGGTAACTTTATTGTTTTCCACCTAAGTTTCTTGACCCACTCCGCCTGCTAGTATGACGTCACATAGTAACGGGCAGGAGCCTCGGGTCGCTTGTGCAAATTAGCAAGGGATACAACAGTTATTTGGACGAGCGAGGTCGCGGAAAAGCTAAGAAGCTAGCAAATACCGCTATATATCGCTTATTTGATCGAATTTGTGTGAGTTTGGTGTTGCTTTAATCTGCTTGTGTAAACCGTTTTGATATTTTGTGTGAATGCATAATTTTGTTAATTTGTTTTGCGGGCCGTGTTGCGGGATGGCCATCTATTTCACGGGACCGGCAAGGTCATCAAAAGTTAAATCTTTTTTTTCGCTAAAATAGGCAAGGTCTAGTCTCCAGAATAGGAGATTCCATTCACAGATCACGCATGTTTATATTTCATCTATTCTTTTGCTAATTAAATGGGCCTAACTTCATGTCATTCCTTTCGAATGTGGGCCTCTGCATGTTGATCTCCTAATTCTCCACCAAATTCAGTAAAGCAAGTTCAAACGATTATCTACATCGAGTCGGTCTGTTGAACCCGAAATAATGCGAAGTAGCTTTGAAATACGCGCTTAAGCTAATTTCCCTCAAATGTTTATTTGAATTCATGATAAATACAGCTTCACCAGCTTCAAACAGCGTCTATGGCAGAGAAAAATTGTCTTGATATGACAAAATTAATCTTGTAAATCATGTGTGTCACTGTGGTGCAGTGGTCAAGGATCGGAGTTGCTTGCACGTGCAGATAAACCGGGTTCAACTCCCGGCGACGCTGTTTCCTGTTTCTTTGTACCGTTTTTTTTTGTCCTGTTTGGTCTCTTTTTTTAACACTATTTTTCCTTTTGGTGGTCATGCACTTGGATCAATAAATATTTTAAGTCCGGAGTTTTATTTTGGAAAAGGGATTTCAAAAGCTCTTGATCTGCATGCTGGTCAAGCTTACGACTAGATAAAAACGATAAGCTGTCAAGATATGTCTCTCCTCTTAAACAGCTGTATTTTTTTCAATGTTAGTTGACATCATGACAAACAACACACAGTACACTACAAACTGTACTAATTTACACCCAACACCCACCAGTGACACACTGGCGAAAGTTAAACTTGCCTTTTGTACATCGTCTTAATCGTCAATATTATTACCCTAAATTCGCCACTGGGTTTGCCCCTAAAAATAATTAAACGAAACGTTTTATTCGTTTTCGGGATTTAATTACAGAATTACGGGTGTATGCCCAACACAGTATTAAAATTCGGTAAAGCAACAAGATTCAATGCTCAGTCTCTCATAAATACCTGTCATTTAGCTTCCTCTTTCAATCAGAACGCAGCATTGATAATAGACTACTAGTTGGGTTTTACTAAAGAACTATATCTCTTATTGGCACTTAACCCTTCAACACTCACAAAGGCTTTTATCTTTTAAGCTTGTGTAATCAAAAAGATTTATGGCCCGTCTGCTTACCTAGATCTAACAAGAAAAAACGCATCCAGGAAAGCATTAGTGAAACTAAGAATAGGCAGCCACAAGTTGATTAAGACAAAGATACCACAATATAGCCCGTAATGAAAGGGTAATCCATATAAAATTCGTCTGCAACTGTAAAACCATTTAACGTGAAATTCACTTTTTACCAGATTACCCAAGTTACTCCTTTAAAAGGGATATGTTCTTTACTAAAATAGAACTTAGCATTCCATTCCCACGACTGTTAGCACTGAAAGGAAACTTTATCATTAACTCACCTGACTGTTTCATTAACACTCACAATTAATTTCACGCTCACCCTCAATTTCGACTCAATTAATTTCATGCTTCGCATTGAGAGATAACTCCTCTCCAGAATGATTACTTCTACTGTAAGAATATATGGTTTAAAAGAAACCATGTTTTAATTTATTTTATGGTATCATAAGAATTATCTTAAGATTTAATTAACGAATCGATAATTGCTTGTGAATATAAGCTTTTCAATACTGTATTTTTTATAGTCATGCAAATAAAGTATGTTGTTGTTATTGTCTGTTTGTTTTAAATGGCTTCTTTGGCAGGCATTTCTGCCGTTTCTATATTTTCTGTCTAACGTATAAGGTTAATTGTAAATTAAGCAAATTCATAAAACAACCCAGCCATTAAGGTAAAAGATATTGCAAAATTAATGAAGGTATGCACTCTTTTAATACAAATGAACTTATTAAAGTTAAGATGAAGATAACTACCGCACAGGTTGTCGAAACGTCAGTCCGCACTGTCAACAACATGCACAGTCCTATTCAGGACTACGTTCACCCGGACGATCAAACTCAACCTACTTTTGAAATGACTCCTGTCGGTTCAAACCTTTCACAGTTTTAAAAGTTAATAAATTGGATTAAACTTTGATACATATTTATTAACAAAATGAGAGAAGTTTCTGTGTTTTTAGACTTAATTTTTAGATTCAAGAGGTTCGGTTGGTGAGTGAAGTAGCCGAGTTTCTCTTTACCCGAGGGCTAAAGCAATGCTCTTTATTTGTTGTCGAATCAATAACAATAGCAATGAAACATTGACATATACTTTTTTCAGAGAAGATGAACTTAATACCAAATCAAAGAAAAGGCAGCCACACTTAGCAAAGTTTTCTGATGATGAATGTATACATCATGATACATCAGCGTAACAATATAATGAATCAAGATCTTATTTATGGAACGATCTCCTTTGTAGCGGCCAAAGCATTCACCTTAAGTACTTCAGAAAACAAAACAAAACCATAGATATTCCAACCAATATGTTCTCTTCTTCTAGATATAGGCAAGAGCCATAATGAGACATTATGGCTCTCGA